TTCTGAAAGACCTTCTGACCAAGTAAATCATTCACCGCTGATAAGAGCGGTACGCTTGGGTTTACGTGTCGGCTTACTGTAACCCATGCAACATGTACTGTAATAAGGAAGCAGTCAGATGCACCTATGTCCAAATGAGTCAAGCATTTTAGAAATAATTAGTAGCATGTTGATCGCTAATCAACCTATCCTGCTTGACTGAATGAGCCTGACACCTTCAGTCATGCTCTAAAATGGGTGACATTTTACTGTGACACTTAGTATTACAAGAGAAGACATATCAAAACACCATGAATTATTTTTTTATATAAAATATACAGTTGAAGTCAGAATTATTCGCCCCTTGATGTTTTTTTTTTTTTTTTTAATATTTCCTAAATGATGTTTAAGAGGAAGGAAATTTTCACAGTGTGTCTAACAATATTTTTTCTTCTAGAGAAAGTCTTATTTGTTTTATCTTTATCTTTTATGATAAAAGTAATGGTACCATCAAGTAATGGTACTTTTAAGTATGATTTTTCAATACTCTTTCCACCGCTGCATATAGGATAAACATCTGAAAGGTTTACTTTTGAAAACTTTAGGAAAAAAGGGCATTACAAAATTATATGTACAACAGTTTGGGTTTCCGTTGAAAAATTTACATTTTGAGGCAACTTCTTGGCATCAGGAGATCGTTTTATATCCTTTATTTACACCTTATTTCATTTCATACGATTTATGTCATCTTGATGACAAAAATGATTCAGAACAAAACAAATATATAAACCATCAAACATCCAATATTTACATCAGATTTAATTTTTTTACATTAATATGATAAGAATTCTGGCGAGGCAGTGGCGCAGTAGGTATTGCTGTCGCCTCACAGCAAGAAGGTTGCTGGGTCGAACCTCGGCTCAGTTGGCGTTTCTGTGTGGAGTTTGCATGTTCTCCCTGCCTTCTAGTGGGTTTCCTCCGGGTGCTCCGGTCCCCCCCCCCCCCCCCCAGTCCAAAGATATGTGGTACAGGTGAATTGGGTAGGCTAAATTGTCCGTAGTGTATGAGTGTGTGTGTGAATGTGTGTGTGGATGTTTCCCAGAGATGGGTTGCGGCTGGAAGGGCATCGGCTGCGTAAAAACTTGCTGGATAAGTTGGCGGTTCATTCTGCTGTGGCGATCCCGGATTAATAAAGGGACTAAGCCGACAAGAGAATGAATGAATGATAAGAATTCTAAAAAAAAAAATTAGAAAAGAGAAGAGCGTTTTTTTTTTATTTCCTGATTGTTTTATTTAATTTTTTTAATCTAACAATATGCAAGACAACACATAATGCGATCCAGATTTTATAGGAGCTAACTATTAATATTATTATTTAATAATCACAATTCACTAAAATGAACTGAGAATTTCTCAGTTTTTCTCTCCAAGTCATGACAATCATTACCCTGCTCATCTCGACTGGAGTGTTTGGTTATGTATTATTTTAATGTGTCCTTGTTACAGTTTACTTACACATTTAAACGCAGAGTAATACTAACTAACTACATGCCATTTTGTAGCATTAGGGCTTGGTTTTGGATTAATTGCATGCAATTATGCATAATTTCTGCATAATTAAATACAAAAAACTGAATGTTTTACTGAATGTAAAAATGATTTGTTAATTAGTCACCCTGGGCTTAATGAACAGGCATATTTTTGGCAAGAGCAAAAAACTAATAAATAAATAAGTATATCGTACGGGGTCAAAACTAGTTTTCTTTCATGTCAAAAATCATTTCAATATTACATAAGATCATATTATATATTTTGTAAATAAAAAAAGTCAATAATGTGGCTGAGAAATTAATCTAGACAACTGTAAAGGCCACTCTTTTGATTTCATTGAACACTCACATTGCAGATTTTCACTTTCATGATGTATAAATCCAAAACTAATATACAATTCTGACTGGTTTTGCTGTCCAGGGTCTCACAACTACACAGTATATTTTGATAAATGCATTTGCAAAGTGGATGAATGCAAATCTAATGCAGGTCAGTGCTTTTTTCCATCATCATCATCATCACTGCTCAGCACCTGATGACCACAAAGCTTACTCACCACATCTGCTAACAAAACTCTCAGTGGTGCACAGATAAAGATCAACTCAAAGGTTTACCCGTTACACAATACTCACTACTGACTCACTGAAGCACTCCCATGTCAATAAACAGGATTAATTTAATGCCAGAATGTGATCACTGGTACGTGCGTGATTTTCCACTTCCAAAACAGCAGTGTTTGACAGTGTTGGGGGAGTAATACATTAAAAGTAACGCGAGTTACATAATAATACTGCCTTTCTAAGACTCCGTTTACACTGTCTTCATGGCCAATTCCGATTCGTTGCCTATATTTGATTGTTATTGCCTGTCCGTTTACACGTACTTTTAATTGTGACCCATATCCGATTAATGTGACGATGGCAGAACTTGTCTAGCTATTAGCTCTGAGAAATATGCGAAGTTCGCCCAACTTTAAAATGATTTTGAGTAGGAGGAGGGAAAGGGCCGTCATCGCAGCTTGTGCCTATGGTTTATCTATGGTGTCCTCCACCATTCCAAGGAATTTGTGGGTACAAGAGACATCTCAGGTCTGGTGGGAGCAATTTGTGGCGGCTGACAACTTTAGTCCTACACCTGTTATTGTCGTTTACCTCATTGGCATCTCCGTACACGCTCTTCCTTCTACGTCATTCAACCGGAGAAGTACCACATTGTCGCAAGTTTAATGACGTACAAAACGGAGTGCTTGTTTACATGATAGTCGCATCGTCACATATCCTATAATCTGATTTATTTCCACATATGAAGGAGATCTGAAACCATCTCTGAATATCCGTATGAATGCATTATTACGTGTTTATGCGGTCATAGAAGGGATCCGATCTGTGTCACATGAACAAAAAAATTGGCTCACATTTAACTGGCAGTGTAAACGGGGCCAAAAGTTACGTTACTTAAAAAGATTAAGTAACAATATTTTAGTTTAAAAAATATCATGCAGGCTATTTTTAATTGCATTAGCTTCTAAAAAAATGTAATTGCTGAATTAAAATTGATGTTGAACCGCACCCTCAATGGGCTCTATGCACAGCAAGAGTTTTAAAGCTAGTGATAAACTTCCGGTGAAAGCTAATGTGACTATTTTTAATTATAATTTTCAATACCCAATATATGTGGTTATTTTCTATTTATATCTCCTTTGAAATATGTTATAAATCACAAAAACAGGGACTTTCCTCTGTCTCCCATTTAGTTTTTTACTTCCTGCCTTCCATCTGAATTTCGAGCATCACCAGAAACAACAACCTGTAGCTCAGAGAGTTCTCAAAAGAAAACATTATCCAACATTATTATGTTTTTTTGTGAGTTTTTAAAGATGAATAAGGGTTATACAGTGTGTTGTTAATCGCAGAGCTCCTCTAAAAAAACAAAAACTGAAGAAAAAAAATCCTTGCATGTTCTGAAAGAGTTTAGGACTCAGCCAGTAAGGGAAAAGTAACACAAAACTCAACACATTACTTACCATAAAAAGTAACACAACTAGACAATATTGTAATACATTACTTACTAAAGTAACTTTACCCACCACAGGTGCTTGATTAGTCTTCATTTGAGGACATTTTCGCACTTTCACTTGATTTGTTTACTGAAAGGTCAGCTGTCAAATCCCCTTTTTACCCCATAACAGCAATACAATATCAAGCCCAAGGGATTGAGGTAAAGTTGGTTTTACATTAACACATTCATTCAGTGACAACTTCTCTATATTGTTTACCATTGTACATTGAATATTTGGTTTGAAATTGCATGTAAGTATGACTTGAAAACAACATAAGCACTATTTATTTGATTGTAAACAATGTTATACTCTGATAGTCATTAGATGCTAATTATTTCACTATTTTAAGTTTGCAAAGACTACTTTTCTGAAATTATATTAATAAGGAGAAAGTCCAAATGTTTGATTATAAAACCAACTTTACCTCAATCAACATATGTGGTGATTTTCCATTTATATCTCCTTTGAAACATGGTATAAATCACAAAAACCTGGCCTTTCCTCGGTCTCCCATTCAACTTTTTCCTTCCTGCCCTCCATCTGAATTTTGAGCATCACCAGAAACAACAAACTACAGCTCAGGGAGCTCTCAGAAGACAACATTATTCTACATTATTGTGTTTTTTAAAGATGAATGAAGGTTATACAGTGTGTTGTTAATCACAGAGCTCCTCTTTTAAAACGAAAAATGAAGAAAAAACTTCTTGCAAGTTCTGAAAGAGTTTAAGACTCAGCCAGTATGGGAAAAGTAACACAAAAATCAACACATTACTTACCACATAAAAAGTAGCGCAACTAGTTATTTTTTGCGAAGTAACTCGATATTGTAATACATTACTTTCTAAAGTATCTTTCCACAACACAGGTGCTTGATTAGTCTTTATTTGAGGACATTTTCGCACTTTCACTTGGTTTGTTTACTGACAGGTCAGCTGTCAAATCACCTGTTTACCCCATAACAACAAAACAATGCCAAGCACTAATGATTGAGGTAAAGTTGGTTTTAAAAATCACACGTTTGAACTTTCTCCTTCATAATATAATTTAAGAAAAGTTTTCTTTATAAACTCTAAATAGTGAAATTATATTAGCATCCAATGACTATCAAAGTACAACATTGTTCACAATCAATTTAATAGTGCTTATGTTGTTTTAAAGTCATACTTGCATACAATTTGAAACCGAATATTTATTGTACCGTGATAAACAACAAAGGAAATTGTCACTAAATGAGTGTACGAATATAAAACCAACTTTACCTTAACACCCCAAGGTAGCCCCATGCTATTTTTGAGAGCAGCACCATGTAAACATGACATTAGCAAACCCCAACACAATGCTGGCATCACACACAGCTTCTCAATGACAACATGAGTGACAAATAAGCATCATAATGTGACTGACATCTTACCTGAGAGTGTATTAGAGACCGGAGCAGCGTGTGTGAGAGTGACAAATCCCAGAAAACACACACCTCCACCGAGAAGAGCCTCCATCCTCAGCACTGCGGCTAATCCACTACCTCAACTACCTAAAAAACAGCTAGCACATCTAAACAAATAACGCAAAGAGCTGTCTACGTACATCTATATCGTTACATCTATATATGTCAAAGACTCATGTTGTGTGATATTAGTCGTGCGTCGCGTTGTGAGCGTTAGCTAACACGACAGAGCTGTGGTGCTCATGAAGCTAAGCTAATGCTAACCGCTACCGGCGTCTTATATGTGATTATTTAGCATCGTTCAAAGCCGCCGTTTGGTTTATTACCTCTCTAGGACGGTTAAACGCGAGGATACGTCTTTTTCAGACATTGTAAAAGTCTTGCGTTCGCGGAAAAATCAAAAGCGCAGTAAACATAGAGGTCCATCATCATCACCTTTCCGCACGAGCGCCATGTTTAGTGACGTCACACGAGGGCGGCGGTGACGTCAGAATCTGACAGATCACTCACATAGAAAAAAGGTTGCCTACCATACAAACTCCCTATAAAACTCTCTAAATTTCATGAACAGGCTCTTTTTGGCATGGAAACTATGTTTCGTTCACAATTTCTCCCCACACAAAGTGAAGCTGTGGAACAACGAAAGCATCTTAGTAAAGAATAAATCGATTTTTTAATAAGAATTAGCATGAAAAAGATATTATCTTTGTGATTTTACTTGATCCACAAGGGAGGATTCTAAAACAGGAAAGTTGCTGTAATTTTTCATTAATTATATAGTACATAAAATAACAGTCAAGCTGTAAATTTACAGATATTATTTGTAATTTTTACGGACTTTTGAACATAATTTAAAATAACAGAAAAAACACTATAAATGATACTGTAATTTTCCTGTACAAAAACAAAAATGTCAGTAATTTGTCTTAAATGATGAAGTACCTAAAATGAATGTTAATTTAGAGAGATTGGCTGCGTCCGAATCTGCCTACTACTCAGTAGGTACTGCATTTGAATTTAAACGTACTACTCGGTTGTTAGAAAAGTACGTTCTGTACAGTATGAATGTGAAAAGTATGAATGGAATTCGGACGTACTACATCCGCCATTTTGTCATGGTCACGTGACCTACGTGCGTCAGTTGCGTCGCTTTACTTCCATTCATGATTTCGCTCGCGGGGCATCATGGGATAGCGCAGCATGCATGGGATGCGCACTCCGGAATCTCGCCGGAAGTAGTAAGTCATCCGGGTACTGATTTTCGAATTCTATGAATTCGGAACAAGTGTGCCGCAAGCCTACGTTTGAGTGAAGGTTTCGGCCGTTAGATCGCCCCCTGGGGGCTGGCTGCAGTACAAGTCATAAAGCCCGCCTCCTCCGTGTTAATGAAGGAGACTTGAGCCCAAATAAAAAAAAATATTACACTTGCAATAAAATGTCCCGAAAGATGGTTCTGGTGGATTAAGGCACTGGTTATTGTGCTGAAATAGGTGCAGATCTTCATTTTTGTAAACAGTTTGTTTTTAGCAGTAATTTAATGCTGGGCGTGTCATCGTGATTGACAGCTGTGATTGACAGTTTCTCAAAGCGCGGCGTCTGAGCTTCGGCAGGAGACTGAAGTAGACTGAAATGTTATTATTCGATTTCTGTGTTATTTTACCATGACAAAATGAGTTCAGCAGTAAACTATAGTTTCTGACATACATGATCTGGTGGAACACTGTTTATTCGCTAAGTTCAGGGCTTTTTTCGGGCTTTATTAGTTTGCTGATACACGCCTAGCCACCCAGATAGCAAAACACAGTTCCGGCTAGATTCTCGCCTGCCGGAGACTTATCTCTTAGAGCTCAGACTGACTAATGTTACCTCTGCTGGACCTACTCCGGATGCCTGGACTCACTACCCAATCCCAGCCCGAGTCAATCGAGCCAGATGCGGCGGCCGAGCAAGCCGGCGCTGCCGCATGCGAGCCGGAATCAGCCCGCGACGCCGCGAGTAAGTTATGCGCTGCGGCCTGGAGCTGGCGCGATTGAATATATAAACCCCTCATATTTGTTAACGTTATTACATCCATTTGTGTTGATATGACAGCAAACGCATGCTGAGAAGTTCGGGGGGCGTAGTTGATTTTACATAAAGCGTTTGATTGGAAGCTCGACTCTGCTCATTTTCGCGGCTCCTCCTCTGGCTCCATCAGACAATCCTTCTGCGCATGTCCGGCTCCAATTTCAGCAGTCTTTTGCGACAGTTTGTGCCCGTCAAGCAGGCGTTTTGCCCTCAAGGCGTTCAATGGGAAAAAGGGCTGTCGCGTCGTCCATATTTTTACAGTCATTGATTCGGACATACTACTCGGCTCGCATACTGATTTTGGCGTACTATATAGTATGGAAGTATGCGGTTTCGGACGCAGCCATTGTTTGTCATTTTACTAAGTTTTGAATATAATTTGAAATGACAAAAAAAAATTACTGTAAAATATTTTGAGATATTTTCTGAAAAATTAGTTTTTTTTTTTTAACAGTGTGTGTGTTGCATGACTGGGATCTGTAGTCCATAAACAAGCAGATTTGTAGTGTGTGTGAATGTGAATGTTTTCCAGTGATCTTTGGTGTTTAGATCGCTGGTGATTGTGACAGTTACAAAATAAAAACAACTGAAATTTGCAAATTGTATAATCTTGATGTATATACCCCTTCTGTTATCATGAAAAAAATAAATTAAAATTAAAGGTTTGGGTTATTATGATATGCATTTTTTCTCTCTATACTCTACTGTGAATTTTTTTTATTTAAAGGGGGGAAAAGAAAAAAAAAGGTTGTGTTTTATATTCTCCTTTGGCTTACTCCCTTATTTATCAGGGGTCGCCACAGCGGATGCCCTTCCAGCTGCAACCCTAGGAAACATCCACCATCCAAACACTCAATCACTACGGCCAGCTTAGTTGATCAGTTCCCCTATAGCGCATGTGTTCAGACTGTGAGGGAAACCAGAGCACCTGGAGGAAACCCACGCCAACACGGGGAGAACATGCAAACTATTGGAAATTAGTTATTAAAGCAATTATGTTACGAATAATTCTAAATACATGCGTAGCTTTTCTCATCAACATCAACTTATATCCAATGTTTCTTCTTTTCATTAGTGAGATTCAGCATCTTCCTCCACAAACCGGCACAAAGGCAGCATCATCATAACCATAACCAAAGCCAATCACCCTCCGAGCGCTTCATAATCATATGCAGGGATCACATCCTTTAATGCAAATCATCCACCTTCACTAATGAGGAGGGAGGTGTTCTGTGTCCTCTGTAGGGTTTAAGGGCGCGAGTATCAGGCTCCCCGAGTGCACTTTTGGTCCCAGATCTGAAGAACAGCCTCTGCATCGTTCCCGAGGAGAACGCTCACATCACGACAACAAGACATCCACACTGGTTAGTGCACACTTCTTTACTTTATTGCTGGTGGTGTCTATAATCAGAAATACAGGACAATATAAGTATTTTATTGCAGTGCATACTAGATCAGTTCAAAACGTAACGTGTAATCTTTGTAAGATAGATAGATAGATAGATAGATTGAGGAATTTTTCACAGTATTTAATATTATTAGCCCCCTTCAGCAATAATGGTGTTGGATTGTCTCCAGAACAAACCACTGTTATACAATGACTTGCCTAATTACCCTAACTTTACCCTAATTACCCTAGTGAAGCCTTTACATGTCACTTTAAGCTGAATACGAGTGTCTTGAAGAATATCTAGTCTAATATTATGTGCATCGCTCATTCCTAAAGTGATTTTTATAGATTAAATATAGCAGAAACAGCTCTTTAAGGTAACAATAGTGTGCATTTGATTGCATCTCTAATGTGTTTGTAGACGCTTCTTTTGTGGGAAGAATCATGGCACTTGCAGGAATCCTGAAGCAAGACGACATCGCAGCAGCCATGCAGGCTTGTCAAGGTGCGACACACACACACACACACACACACACACACACACACAAATACACATGCAAAGAAGCTGTTTTTCTCATTGTGTACAACCACAGAAATAGCAGCGTCGTTTACAGCCACACACACACACACACACACACTCGTTTACTCCCACTGGCCTGTGCATTGGGACACTACATCCAGGTATCCAGGCAGCAGGGGTCGGGGGACAGGGTGGCACCAGGATACCAGTGTGTTTGTGCCAAGCAGCCACAAAGATGCTCACTGCTATTGTACATAGGAAAACTGTCAAAATATATTATGTGATATAATTATACAACCCTAAATCAGAAAGGATTGGGACAGTATGGATGTGGCAAATTTAAAATGCATTGATTTCTAAATATACTTTGTCTTGTATTTCATTGCAGACAATACAACAAACCTTATATATATATATACAACAGTTCTGTCTGGTTCTCAAATCTGATTGGCTGATAGCCGTGGTATATTTAAGTAATATCAGCACCCGTACAGCCTCTTTACCCTTTGTGTATTACTCCGCCAGCAAAAAGCAGACACTACAGATCTAAAGTGTAAAAGATGCACGCTCAGCTGTTTAACTGTCAGCTTATGAATTGAGTCCAACGCGGAAGAAAGTAGTTCCTCATACAAAAGGGTTTTTGAGACTCTCCATGTTTGATTTTGTTTTTATATACACGATTATGCCGTCAAACTGTTGTATAAACGCAATATCACACGAGTAGCAGTGCGATATGGCTGTATACTGGCACTGGTGGGGGCACTAAGGCACTCGGCCTACGATCTTGTGCCAACGCACGCCTCCCACCAGTGCTGATATACAGCCATATCGCACTGCTACTGGTGTGATATTGCTCATCTATCTATCTATCTATCTATCTATCTATCTATCTATCTATCTATCTATCTATCTATCTATCTATCTATCTATCTATCTATCTATCTATCTATCTATCTATCTATCTATCTATCTGTCTGTCTGTCTGTCTGTCTGTCTGTCTATCTATCTATCTATCTATCTATCTATCTATCTATCCTTCCCTATCTATCTATCTGTCTGTCTGTCCGTCCGTCCGTCCGTCCGTCCGTCCGTCCGTCCGTCCGTCCGTCCGTCCGTCCATCTATCTATCTATCTATCTATCTATCTATCTATCTATCTATCTATCTATCTATCTATCTATCTATCTATCTATCTATCTATCTATCTATCTATCCTTGCCTGTCTATCTATCCATCCATCCATCCATCCATCCATCCATCCATCCATCCAACTATCTATCTATCTATCTATCTATCTATCTATCTATCTATCTATCTATCTATCTATCTATCTATCTATCTATCTATCTATCTATCTATCTATCTATCTATCCTTCCCTATCCATCCATCCATCCATCTATCCTGGCTAAACAAGAAAGCTCTATGCACTTTTTTTGCATAGATTGTGCAATTGTGAACTATATAATGTATTTATTTGATAACATATGTTCATTTGGTATCTTATCCATTTCTATAAATAAGTAAATAAATAAGTAAATAAATAAATAAATTACTGGGCCATGTTTTCTCATACGTGCCATCAGCCGTACCGCTCCATAGTATTCGTTTTACACACAACATGTAGCTATATGTACCCAGGAGCACACATTTCTCAGTTTTCAAAAATGTAGCTGTGTGCACATTTTCCCAATGAGCCTGTGTTGGAGTTCTATGATTAAAAGCTCGCCTTTTTATGTGTTTCAGCGCAAGGATCTTTCAACCACGAGTCGTTCTTTGAACAAGTGGGTCTGATCGGTAGAGCCTCTTCAGACGGGGAGAAGGTGTTCAAGGCCCTGGACCAGGACAAGAGCGGATACATCGAAAAAGAGGAGCTGAAGTAAAGTCAAACATGTTTATTTAAACCAGTGTTTCCCAACCCTGTTCCTGAAGGCACACCTGATACAACTGATCTAGGGTGCGTTTTCCAAACAACGACGTAACTCGCGGCTGAACTATCATAGTACGATGCATCGTTTGGGAAAAGAACGATGTAGTGACGAGTGTTTCCCAAAACCTGTACTTTCTCTGTCGCAGATCCATCGCTTAAACCACGTTAGTTATAACGTAAAAAGCCTTTGTTTTCACAAGCTTTGGAGACGTAACATAAATTCCGGTGTTAAATATTAGGTCACCTATAGTTTTCGCCATGAGGCTGTGTTCAAAATGACATCAATGTTTTCAAAGTGTACTACGAAGGGAGCACAATTGTAGACATTAAGATCGCTAAAATTGAACTGTAAAAATACTCTGAAAGCAAATTACACCTAAGAGAGATGAGCTTAATGCTTTTTTATTTTTAATAAGTCCAACTTTGAGTGTTCTAAATGAATAGGGCATAGGGTGGATAAGTGGGAATAGAACACAGCCAGGAACTATGCTTCTAACTACAGCTCCAGAGGTACAGTTGCGAGAGCTCAAGTTTATTTCGCAGTTTGCGAATGTTCGTTGGAGCGACGGATTTGAGAAACACCAAATCAACTAGCTATGTTTGTAACGACACAACTTGCGATCTTAGCGGTGGTTTTGGGAAACGCACCCCAGAACGTTAGAGGAGACTCCAAAATCTGAAATGAGTGGGTCAGATAAGGGAAACATCCAAAATATTTACTGTTGGTGTGTCTTCAGAAACAGGGTTGGGAAACACTGATTTAGACACAGCACAACATATGAAGTAGAACTGTGCAATTAATAAAACACTTATGTTTTGATTATTGCGCCCTTTTGCTCCTTCAATTTGTACATGGAAATCAGTGTAATCATGTAACAAGACCTTTGCAGGTTAGTCCTTTATTTATCACAGCGGAATGACCCGCCAACTATTCCAGCATGTGTTTTACGCAGCCGATGCCCTTCCAATTGTAACCCAGTACTGGGAAACACCCATACACACTCATTCTCACACACACTCATACACTGCAGCCAACTTAGTTCATCCAATTTACCCAAAGTGCATGTGTTTGGACTGTGGGGGCCACCGGAGCACCCAGAGGAAACCCACACCAACACGGGGAGAACATGCAAACTCCACACAGAAATGCCAACTGACCCAGCCGGGACTCAAACCAGTGACCTTCTTACTGTGAGGCTATAGTGCCCACTACTGAGCCACCATGACGCCCTGTGCTCATTTATGCTGAGCACTATTTATTGATATATATATATATAGTATCTCAGGTCATATGGACTATTTACGATTACTTCAAATAATCATGATTACAATTTTGACAAAGTGTTTTGACAATGATTTTTTCCACAATCGCTCAGCGCAAGATGAGCTTTTCTCTGACGAACTGCACTTTCTTCTGGGATTGTGTCTGCAGACGCTTCCTCCAGAACTTCTGCTCGAAGGCCAGAGAGCTCACAGAGGCCGAGACCAACACTCTTCTGGCAGCCGGAGACAAAGATGGAGATGGAAAAATTGGGATCGAAGGTAAAGACAAATCAGAAATCAACCGTGCAGGGATGCGTTTCCCAAAGCAATCATTAGACAACTAATGGCACAAGTTCTGTTGTTTACGAGATATTCTTTAAACACAGTTGAAGAGGGAACATTACTCGCCCTCTCGTGATCATTTTTAATTATTTCCCAAATGATGTTGAACAGATTCAGGAATTTCTCACAGTGTTTCCTCTAATATTTGTTCTTCTGGAGAAAGTTGTTTTATTTCGGCTAGAATAAAAGCAGTTTTTAATTGTTTTAAAGCCATTTTAAGGTCAATATTATTGGCCCCTTCAGCAATATTAGTGTTGGATTATCTACAGCAGCGGTTCCCCACAAGGGGGCCTCAGTGAGCTCTGCGGGGGGTTACGTCATGATTAAGACATTTTAAGCAGTGGACAATATGGAGAACGATCATGTTGCCTTAGTTCATTTTATCCCCTGGCTGATCAAAAAACAGACAAATTTGTAACTCAACGTCGGTGCCAATAGCCTAGTGGTTAGTGTGTCGACACATAGCACTGAGGTGCTCGCGGCGACCCAAGTTAGATTCCCGGCTCGAGGTCTTTTGCTGATCCTTCCCCTATCTCTGCTCCCCACACTTTCCTCTCTGTACATCTCCTCTGTTCTATAAACAAAGGTGAAAACCTCAAAAAAATAATAAAAAAATTTAAATACATTTTTCTAAACTTGTCCTCCACATAAAAAGTCCCACTTATTGCCCTTCAGCAGCTTATAGTAATGACCCAATGTCTGCGTCAAACCTTCCAATTCACTTTAAATGGGTGACGACAGGCGTTGCCGAGCTGCATTGTGGATCCGTTGGCGCCGCTTCAGAGGCGTTGCTCACTGCAGAAGTTGGGACTAGCTCAACTTTTCAAGCGTCAGCCAATCAGATCACTGTATGCAAATACACCAGCTAGACAGTGGCCTGTTGCTGACTGAATTTCATTGGTTGACGCTTCTATGACGATCGCTTCAGCCCCAACTTCAGACACGCCTTTAGTCAAGCATTGACGCTGAAGCCCCATGTGAATGGGGTGTTAGTGTATCGACACATAGCACCAAGGTGCTCACAGCGACCTGAGTTCGATTCCCAGCTCGAGGTCCTTAGCTGATCCTTCCCCTATCTCTGCTCCCCACACTTTCCTGTCTGTACATCTCCACTGTCCTATAAATAAAAAATAATAACAAATATTTAAACTAAAAAATGTGTAACTCATCCTCCACACAAAACGTTTCACTTATTTGCCTTTAGCAGCTAATAGTAATGACCCAATGTCAGCGCTAATAGCCTAGTGGTCAGTGTGTCGACATATAACACCATAGCGCTCATGGCGACCCGAGTTCGCGGCTCGAGGTCCTTTGCCGATCCTTCATCTATCTCTGCTCCCCACACTTTCCTGTCTGTAAAATCTCCGCTGTCCATTTCCCAATAAAGGTGAAAAAATAAATAAATAATAATAAAAACCCAAGCATACTGGACCCAGGTGAGGAAACTCCAAACATTTTGGGTCGCGGCGCTAGCAATACTGGAAAAACAAAATGCAGGAAATACCAAGATAGTTACCTGAACTATAGTTTTATTCAACACAGTCTCAATTCGAAACTTTTTGATTTAGTGGCTAATTCGTATGTATTCATACAATCTAATTCGTACAACTTAGTACGATTTGCTCATCCATCAATGAGGGTTGGGTTTAGGTGCCACGCCTCCTTTTGAATATCGTACAATTTCGTACGACTGAACTCGTACGAATTAGCCACTAAACTGGCAAAACGTAAAATACTTACGTTTTCTCGTGAGATCAGGCTGTTTTATTCTATTTTCTCGAAGCAAAGCCAGTTCTTGCTAATGAAAGCATGAGGCCGTCTAAATTATGAAGACATTTGCAGACGACTCATCTCCAAAACAGCGACAAGCCCAGAGAAAAAGAATTGACACACACCCAAAATGAGACGATGGACGTCACAGCTCCTGACGAGCAACCTTTAAAAATATCGTACACAGCTGCTGAAAATAAAAAGAAGGGGCACACAATTGCAGAAACTTTGATTTTGCCATGCGCAACAGAGATTGTCAAGGAATTATTTGGAGAGTGTGAATCAAAACAACTGGTCAAGATACCGCTGTCAATTAGTATGGTTAAACATTGCATCGCAACAGTGTCAGAAGACGTGAGGGGTCAGCTTTGTGCATGACCCGAGGATGACCTGTCAAAGATCCTGACCAAATTATTACTCGCTGCCTGCAGCAATCCTCACACAGATTAATAAAGCATAACGAATGCCGTGCATGTATTAAATTGTGATAGCCTTTATTAAACTAAAGTAGGAACACTGATATATTATTGTTGAATTTCAAACAGGGCCAGATTAATGGCCGAAGGCTTACGTCTTTCCAGTTACAAATGGCTTACTGATGTTCTGCTTTTATAATTGACGTTATTTGTGCATAAACATACCTAGTGAAGCCTTTAGAGGTCACTTTAAGCTGAATACTAGTGTCTCGTAGAATACCTAGTCTAATATCATGTGCTGCCATCATGACAGAGAGAAATCAGTGATTAGAGATGAGTTATTAAATCTAATATGATTAGAAATGTGAGATCAAATCTTCTCTCTGTTAAACAGAAATTGGGGTATTAAATATACAGATGGGCTCAAGAGGGTGAATAAACAAATGAAACCATACAATAGTTACATTTCCTCCTGAGATCAGGCTGGTACTGTAGTTTAGCAGCGGATGCGCTGTTGTTTGGGAAACGCAGTCTAGAAAAGGCCCTCGGGAGCTGCTCTGCTATAGAAACAGGGCTGCTGTTTCTCCGTCTGGCTCCTTTTTCAACCCGAGGGATTAATCAGACAGCAGTTGTACTCGCTTTAACACAGCCACACACACTGATTATAGCGAAAGACGGGGAGTTCTCCTGCTCGCCAGTCAAATTAGCATGTCTTTTTCCAGCAGGCGCACTGTGAAGAAATACGTTTGCTCATGCACACTACAAAAAATGCTTACTTAGGAGTTTTTGTCTTGTTTCTAGTCCAACTGTCTTAAAAATTCTCAAGTCAAGAAGTGTTTTAGAGTGCTTTCACACCTGCCTTATTTAGTTCGATTGTATCGCACTAGAGTTCGTTTCCCCTTTTGGTGCGGTTCGTCTGGGCAGGTGTGAATGCAGCAATCGTACTCGAGTGCGCACCAAAAGCGGACCAAATAAGCGTACCGAGACCTGCTTAAAGAGGTGGTCTCGCTACGCTTTCAAACGAACCCTGGAGCGGTTCGTTTGTGGTGAGAATATGATCCGTATTAAAATAGGTCCAACCGCAAAAAGTACTGCGCCTTTTGGACTAATCCAGCTGCTGTAGGCCGATGCGCTGTGCATTATGGGATATGGAGGAAAATATTTGTTGACAGCGCTTTACCAACAGAGAGAGAGAGAGAGGGGAAAACATTACCTGATGGATCGTTGGAAATATTTCCCCAAGATGAGCATGTTGCAGTTTAGCTTAATAAAGTCACGCCTCCTCCTGAAGTGACGAGTGATGCATTAAACACTGTTTTCCAGCCGCGGCTGCGCTTCATTTTCGTAATGTATAGTTTGTCTAAAGCAGGGATACAATCAGCCAGCGCAGTCGCCCCTCCAGAGTAAAAGGTTTTGTTTACCTGCGGGAGTTCACTGGCATTTTCCCGCACGTGAATTCTGACCAATCAATAAGCAGTTTAGGAAATATGTTCAAACATCTGGCCAATGAGAGATGTTGATTTTGTCACATGACTGCATTTTGGTTCGTTTTAACTGGTTCGGACTAAAGCCAGCAGTGTGGTGTGAAAACGACCCAAAGACGGAGGAAGATGCAACAATGCATCATTTATTGCGCTTGGTCCGGACCAAGTGAAGCGAACGACAGATGTGAACGCACCCTTATAGACAAGCAAAACATATAGTCTTGTTTTCAGAAAGTCTTTCTTTAAAAGGCCACCTGTTATGTAGAAATCTTCTTTATAAGGGGTTTAACACAGTTGTGTGTCAGCAGTGTGTGGATATCTCCAGCCTCTAATGGTCAACATGAATTAATTCTATTGTTTATAATCAGACTTGATCAAAACAGTCTGCAGAAACACTCTGATTGACATTCTCCCTTTGTATGATGTCATCAGAGGGGAAAGCCCCGCCCACTAGTGCACATCTATGAGATCAGAAGGAGACATTGTGAATGTGCAATGACCGCAGCTTATGCCAGAAAACACAGACTGAGATGAGACTCTGATTGGTTTATTCTCAAAACACACCTATAACTCATTAAGAGAATAAGCTCAACCCTTTTAGATCATGCGCCACGGCGCAAAGCAGATTTTCCCGTCCTTAAATTAGCAAAAGTGGATTCTGACACGCCCTGAAAACGTTTGCGCTCTGCGCTTTCCGCATGGACCGTCTAAATAGAGCCCTATGACAGCTGAGATCTTACAGTGTGACATGGGAGCCATGCTCGTGCAGACATGCTACAATCATTTGGGATTATTAAATAAATAAATTAAAATCTCACAGTGTGAGCCGGCCTTAAGAAAAGCATATTGTTCAGTGTGCTGAAGACTTTACAAAAGCAGATTTCATAAAAGGAATAATGAGTAGACACCTCTGCTGTGTTGATTGATTCAGCCGACTTGACCACTTTTTAATTCTCTTTCTCTTTATGTTTGCAGAATTCTGCGCCTTGCTGAAATGAGAACGAGGCCAGCGTCCTGACCTGCATTTCTCGAAATGTTTCATATTTGTTTTGCGTGTCTTATCAGTGATGGCTTTTGTTTCCCCTGAATTGCTTATTAAAATATATGCTTAGTAAGTCTTTGTAGTGAATGAGATAGTCATGTTTGGGAACTAAATTAAAAACGTCACGCTTCTGTAGTTATTGAATATGAAACTGCTTAATCAAATAAAATCTCCAAGTGAAGGACTTCTTTTATCCAACTTCTGCCTTGTCTGATTATTTATAAAGCATGACGTGAGAAAACCATAACACTTCATTCATTCATTTCCTTCGGCTGAGTCCCTTATTTATCAGGGATCGCCACAGCGGAATGAACCACTAACTATTCCAGCATGTTTGCCCTTCCAGCTGCTGATATTTAGGATATTTTTACGTCAGTATTGCTCACAATTATGATATTTTAGGATATTTTTATGTCAGCATTGACCATAATTATGGTAATTTAGGATATTTAGGATATTTATTTATCAGTACTGATCATAATTATGATATTTTAGGATATTTAGGATATTTATATATCAGTATTGATCATAATTATGATATTTTTGGACATTTAGGATATTTTTATGTCAGTATGGATCATAATTAGGATATTTTAGGACATTTAGGATATTTATATGTCAGTATTGATCATAATTAGGATATTTAGGATATTTATATGTCAGTATTGATCATAATTAGGATATTTAGGATATTTATATGTCAGTATTGATCATAATTAGGATATTTAGGATATTTATATGTCAGTATTGATCATAATTATGACATTTTTGGATATATTACATCAGCATTAATCATAGTTATGATATTTTAGGATACTTAGGATATTTTTAAAATCAATATTGATCATAATTATGCTATTTTTACATCAGTATCGATCATAATTAGAATATTTTAGGACATTTAGGATATTTTAATGTCAGTATTGATCATAGTTAAGATATTTTAAAATATTTAGGATATTTTTATGTCAGTATTGATCATAATTAGGATATTTTAGGATATTTAGGATATTTTTATATCAGTATTGATCATAATTAGGATATTTTAGGATATTTAGATGTCAGAATTGATCATAATTATGACATTTTTGGATATTTTACATCAGCATTAATCATAATTATGATATTTTAGGACGTTTAGGATATTTTTAAATCAGCATTGACCATAATTATGACATTTTTGGATATTTTACATCAGCATTAATCATAATTATGATATTTTAGGACGTTTAGGATATTTTTTAAATCAGCATTTACCATAATTATGATATTTTAGGAAATTTAGGATATTTTGATGTCAGTATTGATCATAATTAAGATATTTTAGGATATTTAAGCTATTTATACATCAGTCTTGACCATAAGTATGATATTTTAGGATAATTTCACATCAGTTTTGATCATAATCATAATATTTTAGGATATTTAGGATATTTATATGTCAGTATTGATCATAATTATGATATTTTTGGATATTTTACATCAGCATTAATCATAATCATGATATTTTAGGATATCTAAGCTATTTATAGATTAGTCTTGACCATAAATATGACATTTTAGGATATTTTTACCTCAGTTGTGATCATAATTATGATCTTTTAGGACATTTAGAATATTTTTTATGTCAGTATTGATCATAATTAGGATATTTAGGAAATTTTTTGTCAGTATTGATCATAATTAGGATATTTTAGGACATTTAGGATATGGTTTATGTCAGTATTGATCATAATTAGGATATTTAGGAAATTTTATGTCAGTATTGATCATAATTAGGATATTTTAGGACATTTAGGATATGGTTTATGTCAGTATTGATCATAATTATGATATTTTAGGATACGTAGGATATTTTTTAAATCAGCATTGACCACAATTATGCTATTTTTACATCAGTATTGATCATAATTATGATATTTTAGGACATTTAGGATATTTTAATGTCAGTATTGATCATAGTTATGATATTTTTGGATATTTTACATCAGCATTAATCATAATTATGATATTTTAGGAGTTTTAGAATATTGTTTATGTCAACATTAATCATAATCATGATATTTTAGGAGGTTTAGGATATTGTTTATGTCAACATTAATCATAATCATGATATTTTAGGATATCTAAGCTATTTATAGATTAGTCTTGACCATAAATATGATATTTTAGGATATTTTTTACCTCAGTTGTGATCATAATTATGATCTTTTAGGACATTTAGGATATTTATTATGTCAGCATTGATCATAATTAGGATATTTAGGAAATTTAATGTCAGTATTGATCATAATTAGGATATTTTAGGACATTAAGGATATGGTTTATGTCAGTATTGATCATAATTAGGATATTTAGGAAATTTAGGAAATTTAATGTCAGTATTGATCATTAAGGATATGGTTTATGTCAGCATTGATCATAATTAGGATATTTTAGGACATTAAGGATATGGTTTATGTCAGTATTGATCATAATTAGGATATTTTAGGACATTAAGGATATGGTTTATGTCAGTATTGATCATAATTAGGATATTTTAGGACATTAAGGATATGGTTTATGTCAGTATTGATCATAAATATGATATTTTAGGATATTTCGTCCTGCCAGTATTGGTCATAGTTATGATATTTCTGGATGTTATTGATATCTTTATTTCAGTATTGCTCATAAATATGATATTTAGGATATTTTACCTGAGTATTGATCATAATTATGATATTTTATGATATTTTTATGTCAGTATTGCTCATAATTATGCTTTTTGGGACATTTAGGATACTTTTTATGTCAGTACTGAGCTTAGTTATGAACTTTTAGGATATTTTTACATCAGTACTGATCATAATTACGATATTTTAGATATTTTTACATCAGTACTGATCATAATTACGATATTTTAGGATATTTTTACATCAGTACTGATCATAATAAGTACCTGATGCTGATGCACTGATTAACAGAGGGACTTTTCATAACATCTGTAGCAGTTTGAGACAATATATTGTACAAGAAATTATATATATAAAACAAGTCTTTACAAATAAAAACAAACAGAAAAAGCACTGTCAGTTTATTCCCATTTTTAACCATGATTTACACCAGTACAGACCTTCAAACTATTAAAAATGCCAATAAAAGTCACTTATTTTAACTTTTCAACGTTCATAAGTTGTTAAAGGGAAGTTCAAAGTCCTGTAATGCAATCCAAAAGCATATTAGCTTTCTGGGGGGGAAATGGGAGGCAGATTAAATGGTCAGTATTGATCATAATAATCCACATATGCAGGTGTAAATTATTCTTATCTCACACTGACATGATTTACAGCAGCTGAGACGCCGTTTTTATTTCCACCACGGCTCCTCCATCCAGACTTTCTAACCTGGAGGAGAAACCCGATCCAAAACATATGTTATCTTCATTTCCGCTTATGTTTTTAGTCCAAAAACATTAAAAAAAGAGCAGTTTTTCCCCTATCGAGGACTGACGCCTCCAACCAGGGTCCTGCTGATCTATAGGGTCCCACACATGGTTCTGAGCATCGTTTGTGGCACTAAAAATAGCCCAAGATGACTACTGGACACATTTTTTCGACACTATTCCTAACGTAGGCCTACACGCGGTATCTGTTACGGAGCATCAAATTCCTGTAAATGGTGAGGCTGAGAGTATATAAGGGGTCCGGACGGAGCCCTGGGTCACACCTCGACTAGCTCCTTTGCTTTTCACTCGCCTTAGACAAGCGCAAGGTGAGTTGTTCTGCAAGTGGATGAATGGGATTGTGGAATTATGTTCCAATTTGCAAGCCGGAAATCATCAAGGGAGTCTTTTTTTTAATTTGTATTATTTTTTACAAGAAGGCAATGATGCTTTTTTGACGTCAGAACGTTTTTCATATTGCGATTATAAAATAAAAAAATACTTAATATATTTAACAATTTTTAATATTTATAACGCTAAACAAGACAGAATATTTTTGAATAATCGAACGCTTTTCATATTTAGATTTTATAATAAAAAATATTTATGTAAAATATTAACGATTTTTAACATTTATAAAGCTAAACAAAGCTAAAAAATTTTGAGTAATCGAACGTTTTTCATATTTCAATTTAATGATAAAAAATATTTATGTAATATATTAAACGATTTTTAATATTTATAAAGCTAAACAAGACAGAATATTATTTAAATCAAACGTTTTTCATATTTCAATTTAAAAATCAAAAATACATATGTAATATTGTTAATGATTTTTATTATTTATAAAGCTAATCAAGACAGAATATTTTTGAATAATCAAACGTTTTTCATATTTCGATTAAACAAAATACTTAAGTGATATTTTTAAACAGTTTTTAATATTTATAAATCTAAAAAGGACAAAATATTTTGGAATAATCAAACGTTTTTCATATTTAATTTTTTTAAATGGATTTTTATATAATAGAATTTTTTTATATTTCTATTTGTAAAGCTGCGATGATGCGTTTATCGGTCATCAGATTTTGAAAATACCGTTTTTCACTGTGAACGTTTCTCAAATGTAGTTTTTTTAAATAAATACTTTAAAAATATAAAAAATATTAAACAAGTTAAACAAGATAAAACATTTTTTAATAATCAAACATTTTTTATATTTCGATTTTTATTTAAATTTTTAAATAAATTAAAAATTTCTTTTCGGCTTAGTCCCTTTATTAATTTGGGGCCACCACAGCGAAATGAACCACCAACTTTTCCAAATGTTTTTACGCAGCGGATGCCCTTCCAGTCGCAACCCATCTCTGGGAAATACTTATATATTATTTTTTATATTTATAAAGCTAAACAAGACAGAAATTTTTTCATATTTTTTTATTTAAAAATTTTCAGTTTTTATATATTTGTATATTTTTAAAAACAAACTTTTTTATTATTGATTTTTTTCAGAACATTTTACAAATATTTAATAGAATAATGTATTTTTTATATTAATAACGCTAAAAATGGAGATGACGCGTTTTACGGTCATCAGGTTCTTAAGTAATTAAACATTTTTCATATTTCGATTTTTAAAAATAAAATATTTTTATATTATTTTAGCATTTTATATTTATTTTAGCATTTCATTCATGCATTAATTTTCTTTTCTGCTTTGTACCTCTCAATTTCATTTTTAGTGTTTTTTTTTATTAATATTTATATAATATTA